AGGACCACCCAAACCATCCACAACCCCCCCCAAATTTCAGCTCCCTGCCCAAAACTCCTTCTAGAACCCCCCCAAAACCACCTGACTTTGGGGTTCCCTCCCCAAATCTCCCCCCAGGAGCCCCCAGACCACCCCCCGATTTTCGGGGTGCCCTCACCAGGATGCAGGCCTGCGCCTCGATGCCGCAGAGGAGCACGGAGCGGATTTTGGGGTCCCCCAGGAGGGGCGCGGCCGCCCCCACCATGCTGAAGGCGGTTTTGGGGATCCGGGGCAGGTCCTGCGCCCCCAGTTCCGGCACCGTGGGCCCCAAAATATCCGGGCGCTGCTCTGTCACCAGCACGGGCACCCCCAAAATCCGGCAGCCCTAAGCGGGGGACGTTCAGGGGTTTGGGGAGGGTTTTTTGGGTGGTTTTTAGGGGTTTTGGGGGCACTTTTGGGAGGTTTTGGAAGGGGTTTTTGGGGGTTTCTCACGGAGGGTTTTTGGGGTTTTTTTGTGAGGGATGTTTGGGGAGAATTGAGAGGTAACTTTTGGGTGTGTTTGGGGTATTTTTGAGGGGTGTTTTGGGGAGGATTTTGGGGTTTTTAGGAGAGGAAGTTGTGGGTGTTTAGGGAGGGTTTTTGGGGCATTTTGGGGAGGGTTTCGGAGAGGATTTTGCGAGTGTTTGGGGTTTGTTTTGGGGCGGATTTCGGTGTTTGTCTGGGCGCATTTGGGGCGTTTTTGGGGTGTTTTTGTTGTGCCCACCTGGAGCATCCGCGCGGCCACGGCCACGATCTGAGGGAAGGCGGCGATGGAGCTCCGGAACCGCTCCTGGAGGTCGCACAAGAACAGCACCGAGGAGCCCGGCAGGGGCCGGCCCAGGCGAGCAGCGGCCATGGGGGCACCTGGAGACACCTGTGCACACCTGGACACAGCTGGGGACACGTGTGGACACAGCTGGGGACACCTGGGACACTTCAGAGACACCTGTGCACACCTGGACACAGCTGCGGACACCTGGGACACTTCAGGGTTAGGGTTAGGGTTAGTCACGTGGCCCCGCCGTGTCACACCTGGAGGGCACCTGGGGGAGGTCACGGGGGTCACGGGACACCCAGGGAAGGTCACGGGGGTCACGTGACACGTGGGGACTGCTGGCGGGCACGTGGAACACGCGGGGACACCTGGCCTGGGTCACGTG